TTTGTATTTGTATTTGTATTTGTATTTGTATTTGTATTTGTATTTGTATTTGTATTTGTATTTGTCATTGTATTTGTATTTGTATTTATTTGTCTTGTATGCCGCCCACTCCCGAAGGACTCCGGGCGGCTCACAATAGACAAGGGAAGGGGGAAAACTAGACAAAGACAACACTTTAAAAACAAAACCGCAACATTCACAATTTCTGCTGGGCTGGATGTTTCACAGGCCCCCCGGCCTGCTGGAGCAGCCAGGACTTGGTGGCTTTGCGGAAAGCCGGGAGGGTAGTAAGGGTCCGGATCTCCACGGGGAGATCGTTCCATAAGACCGGAGCAGCTACAGAGAAGGCCCTCCACTGGGGAGTCGCCAGCCGACAATGACCGGCAGATGGAATCCGGAGGAGACCTTATCTGTGCGATCTTATAGGTCTCTGGGAGGTAAATGACAGGAGGTGGTCCAAATGACATTAGATGAACGAACCTGGATACTTCATCAATATCGCGGAAATTGTGAATGTTGCGGTTTTGTTTTTAAAGTGTTGTCTTTGTCTAGTTTCCCCCCTTCCCTTGTCTATTGTGAGCCGCCCGGAGTCCTTCGGGAGTGGGCGGCATACAAGACAAATAAATACAAATACAAATACAATAAAATGAATCACCTTCAAAATAATGCAGAATGGAGTTGCTGTGCACAAAAAAATCTCGTTTCAATGCAGATATACAAATAGAATCAGGGTCTGAAATCTTCATTGCAGACTTTAGCAGGACCATACTAGTGCTTGATTTCCAGTCTGCTCCAGGTTTGATCATAATACCTTTTCTCCGCTTCCTAAAATGAATGAGTTCCTAACCACCAGGAAATAAAGAATACAGCTATCCTAAGTCTTTAGGAGATAATCTGTTACCAGCCTGTCTGCTGACTTAATTTATTCTGTTGGGATTTTGGTGGCAGGTTTTTAAGCTGAATGCCCATTGTGTCAACGCAGAACGAACAAGACTTAATTTTTCCAACAATTCCTGGAGAAATTGTGAGGAGTTCCTCCCCCCCACCCCCGGCTTCAGCTCTTGCTTCCACCCATTCCTTCCTGTCTGCCACACCTGTTTAATTCTCAATAGAAAAAAAATCTAGAACTCTAAACTTCCAAATATGACAGGGCACATTCTTTAAATTAGTAATACCTGGAGTGAGCTAGTTTTCTTTTACTCAAAAGTTTTATTGCCTATTTTAAAAAAAATCATAGATGTGGACTTCTGTTTATTCAGAATGGTAGCCTCCAGTACAACAGGTGTTTTTCCCTCTTGTAAAATGCAGCCCCAAGGCAGTGTCGTATCTGCGGAGGACTTGCAATGTACGAATGTCGGGAATGTTACGAAGATTCAGACATTTCCTCTGGTAAAATCAAGCAGTTTTGCAAAACTTGCAATACGCAGGTAAGGTTTTTTTTTTCCTTTCTTTCTTTCCCAAATGTCCTAGGACAGGGATGGCAAACCTGTGGCACACGAGCCAGAGGTGGCACACCGAGCAGTCTCTGTGGGCACCCGCGCCGTCACCAACTGATCTTTGCGTGCACTGGAGTGCCAGAAAACAGCCTGAAAAATGCCCAAAAAACAGGCTGTTTTGGGGGACGTTTTCAGACCATTCAGGTCATTTTTGGGCCGTTTTTCGTGGCATTTTCAAGGGTGTTTTCAGGCTGTTTCTTGGGCCGCTTTCAGGCCATTTTTCAAGCTGGTTTTGGCCCAAAAAAACAGCCTGAAAACAGCCTGGAAAACGCCCCCCAAAACAACCTGAAAACGACCCCCAAAAAACGTCAAAAATAAAAAGGCATAGCAATAGCAATAGCAGTTAGACTTATATACCGCTTCATAGGGCTTTCAGCCCTCTCTAAGCGGTTTACAGAGTCAGCATATTGCCC